AGAAATACAAGGAAACAGAAATACTCAGGAAACAGACTAATACAGAAAATTGGTACTAAGGAGTGGGGCATTGCTATGCCTGAAAATGTTGAAGCAGCCTTGGAACTGGGTGGATAGAGGCTGAAAGAGGATGAAGGTCTCGGAAGGAGACAGAAAGATGAGGCAACGTTTGGATTTCTTAGAAACTGGTTAAAAGGTTGTGTTCAAAATGCTGATAGAAATATGAACAATGAAGGTCAGGCTGATGAAGTCTCAGATGGAAATGAGGAAGCTATTGGGAAATGGAGTAAAGATCACCCATACCACCCTCTAGCAAAGAACTCGGCTCCATTGTGTTCATGTTCTAGGGACCTGTGGAGGTTTGAGGTTATAGGGACATGGATGAATCTGGAGAACATCATTCTCAGCAAACTGACACAAGAACAGAAAATGAAACACCGCATATTCTCACTCATAGGTGGGTGATGAACAATGAGAATACATGGACACAGGGAAGGGAGTACTACACACTGGGGTCTATTGCGGGGAATAGGGGAGGGACAGCGGGGGCGGGGAGCTGGGGAGGGATAGCATGGGGAGAAATGCCAAATGTGGGTGAAGGGGTGGAAGGCAGCAAAACACACTGCCATGTGTGTACCTATGCAACTATCTTGCATGTTCTGCACATGTACCCCAAAACCTAAAACGCAATAAAAAATAAAAAAATTCAGAAGATACACACCAAAAATTTAATAGTGGTTATCTGCAAAAAAAAAAAAAAAAAAAAAAAGAGTGATGACTTAGGGTACCTGGTAGAAGAAGTTTCTAAGCAGCAAAGCATTCAAGAAGTGGGCTGGCTGTTTCTAACAACCTGCCATCAGATCCGGGAGCAAAGAAATGGCTTATATTTTAAAGGGAAGCAAAACATGAAACTTCGGAAAAATGTGGTAGAAAAGAAAAGGGCATTTTCAGGAGATGAATTCAAACAGGCCACAGAGCAACTGCTTTCTAGAGAGATTAGCATGACTAAAGGGGATCCAAGTGCTAATACCCAAGACAATGAGAAAAGAGCCTCGAAGGCTTTTCAGAAGACTTCCCGAGAGCTCCTCTCATCACAGGCCCAAAGGCCTAGAAGGAAAGAAAAGTTTTAGGGTCCATCCCTAGGGCCCCACTGCCTTGTGCATATTATTTACTTCCAACATTGTAACTTGGAAGCAAATAATTTGTTTCTGATTTTACAGGCTCGTAGGTGGAAGGAACTTGCTTGAGTCTTTAATGATGATACTTTGGACTTGGAACTTTTGAGCTAATGCTGGAATGAGTTAAGACTTTGGGGGAACTACTGGGAAGAGATAACTATTCTGCAATGTGAGAAGAATGTGAGATTTGGGGGCTCAAGGGAAGGATGATATCATTTGGATGTGCGTCCCCTCCAAATCTCATGTTGAAATCTGACCTCCAGTGTTGGAGGTGAGGCCTGAGAGGAAATATTTGGGTCATAGGGGCAGATTTCTCATAAATGGCCTTGTTTTTCCATAGTAGAATTCACATGAGCTCTGGTTGTTTAAAAGATTGCGGCACCTCCCCTACTCTCTTGTGCTCCCTTACTTGCCATGTGATGTGGCTGCTCCCACCTCACCTTCTGCCATGAGTAAAAGCTTCCTGAACACCCCACCAGAAGCTGAGCAGATGCTATTGCGATGCTTCCTGTACATGTGGCAGAACTGGGAGCCAATTAAACTTTTTTTTTTAAGTAAATTACCTAGTCTCAGGTATTTCTTTATAGCAATACAAGAATGGTCTAATACAGGCTTGAACAGCCATTTCTCAAAATAAGAAATACAGACAGCCAACAAACAGATGAAAAAATGAATTGAATGCTCAATATCACCAATCCTCAGGAAAATACAAATCAAAACCACATTGAAATATTATCTTACACTAGTCAGAATAGCTATTAACTAAAAAGACAAAAAACAACAGATATTAGCAGGGATGCAGAGAAAAGGGACTGCTCATATATTGTTTATGGGAATGTAAATTAGTTGAACCTCCATGGAAGACAATGGAGAGATATCTCAAAGCACTACAAATAGAGCTATCGCTCAACCCAGCAACTCACTACTGCATGTCTACCCAAAGGAAAATAAATATTTAAAAAGCACCTGCTCTTGTATGTTTCGCACAGCACTATTCACAATAGCAAAGTCATGGAAGTAGCCTAAGTGTCCATCAATGGTTGACTGGATAAAGAAAATGTCGTATATATACACTGTGGAGTACTATGCCACCGCAAAAATAAAATCATGTTTTTTGTAGTAACATAGATGGAACTGGAGGCCGTTATTCTAAATGAACTGGCCTAGAAGCAGAAAATCAAATATCACAAGTCTCACTCATAAGTGGGAGCTAAACAGCAGGTACATATGGACATAAAGGTGGAGATGAAAAATGAAATGCATTCTCCATTCACATTTCATAGCTGTTGCAATAACCTTTGTTAAAACTAAAGTTTCTCTTTTGTGGATCATGATGAATTTATGAGCTTTCATAGACGAGGCATTTTAAACTATCATAATGTTTTTGTTATTTAAATGGTCCCAAGTTGGCCAGTGAGAGCCCTGTTAACCTGTTTCCTTGTCCTTTGTGCACTATTTCTGACATTTCACCTTCAACAGCAGTCTTGCCTTCTTCTCAGAAGATAATGTTCTATCCACAGTACTGTTTGTCCACATCAGCTACTCTCTTGATTTCTTTTGGAGAAAAAAAGAGAACCAAGTAGAAGCACCAGGGATGCACAGGGGATTAACAATGAGCAAAAGAGCTACTTCTGATGGGCAAGTTTGGGAAACTGAGCTAGAAAAGATATTCATTTTTAGGAATCTGAATTTATATTGCTTCTTATGGTTTGAGACGTTATCGACTACAATAACTCTCTATTTTATTAACCACATCCAAATTGGTGAAATTCACCTATATTCCTCAAAAGTAAACCCCTCTTTTTTTCTCTTTGCCACGCTCCATTGATGCTATCAATATCCTTTGCGAAATTGTGGCCTTTAATCTGACATAGATATATCATCCCAGGACTACCAGTAGGATATTTCTCCTAAAACTTTCTGCCTGCAACTGCAACTTGGAGAGCTGGTTTAGTTCTGGCCTTCTCTCATTGTTAAGATCATTTTCTCCTTATGATTTATCTCCAATTATCTTTTCCTCTGCTCAACTAACAGAAGGGCGGGCCACGTTTCCCGGCAAAAAGACACCAGCAGAGAAGTAAAAGCTAGTCACACATACTTGAAGGACCTCCCTATTCTCTAAGTGTCACTGTTCTATTATCTCATAGCTTCACCAACAGTGTGTTTCCCAAAATTCTATCTTCTCTCTCCCTCTATTTTGCCTAAAGGTGTTGGCTGGTGCCAGGGTATTAGTCAGTGTTGCTGATGTAACAATCACAAAATTGTAGGCTTATAAGAAAAAACATTTACTTTTCACTTACTGGAGCTCTGTTCAATGTTGTGGGTAGGCTGTGAGCCTGCTTCATACTTCCTCATTCTGGGATCCACACTAACGAACAGCAAAATCCTGGGAAGTAGTATTCTTACAGCAGAGGTAAATTACCAATAACCTTGATGGAAATTTACAATATCTCATAGGATTTGGCTCAGATGTACCACGTGTCATTCCATCAGTCAAACCATGCCGCAGGGTCAAATGCAGTATCAGTGAGGTAGAGAGACATGCTCCTTCTACGGAATGAAGGGCACAGTGCAAGTCACAAGGCACTATGTGAAGATGTAAAACCCTCTAACAGGGAAAGAGGAAAGAATAATTAGGAATCATAATTCAATTGACCACAGCCACTTCTCTAAACTGTCACCTACCAATAAGCCCATAGAAAAGGCCATCTCTGGTAACCTACCTCTGCAGCCTCTGGCAATTTTACGGATTTAAGATGCAAAATAGTACCTTTGTCCCAACTTTAACAGTCAGCCATTGTTCTGGAACACTATAAAAATTTTCACTTAATGTATACCCTCTTTTTACAAAACAAAAGAGGGATTTTTTTTTTTTTTTTTTTTTTTGAGATGGAGTTTCACTCTTGTTGCCCAGGCTGGAGTGCAATGGCACCATCTCGGCTCACTGTAACCTCCGCCTCCCTGGTTCAAGTGATTCTCCTGCCTCAGCTTCCCGAGTAGCTGGGATTATAGGCATGTGCCACCATGCCTGGCTCATATTTTGTATTTTTAGTAGAGACAGAGTTTCGCCATGTTGATCAGGCTGGTCTCGAACTCCCGACCTCAGGTGATATGCCCACCTCGGCCTCCCAAAGTGCTGGGATTACAGGCATGAGCCACCATATCCAGCCGGATTTTTTTTTTTAAGATGCAGGTATTTCTCATAGACAGACCTGTAACACAACTGTAATCAGGGAAGTAAGAGCCGCTAGAATTTTTAGGGACTTCTCTCACTCCATATCTTTACTCTAGATGTCCCTTCATACTTCTTTCCATACAGTGGGACACGGAAGTGCTACTACTTCTTGCTCAAGAGGCAAGCTTAGAATGGGTCTATATTGTCATATATATGCAGTTTTCTGGGAAAGGAATTATTATTGGATCACCTAGAGTCAGATGCCCACCCTTCGTCTAATCGGCTATGGCTAGGCTGGGGACATTTCACGGAGAGCAAACACAGCAGTTCAACCCTGGGTGACTCTATGGACTTGGGTGAGCAGGTAATTCCTGAGAAAGATGAAAATAATGGGAGTGGGTCAACTACATCAAAGGTGTCTACTCAGTCTCATTTAAAGGTCATTATAGAAGAATAAAATCTAAGAGGTAGCTCTTGGCTTTTGCCTGAAAGTTATTGCTGTTTAGCAGAAAATAATATCAGTCGGTTGATGCCAAAACCTTTTTGTAAATAATTGCAAAGCAGTGGGGGAAATCAGAGGCTGCCATTTTAAGTGTCTTATTTCAAAATAATAATTAGTATTACTTGTTCTCTATATTTCTCTGCAGAAAAGGAGTCCATTCATCCTCTATAATCACTATAATATATCTTTGTTAAAATGCCAAGAAGATTTATTCTAAAAGAAGGCACCAAAGCAATGGGGGTAAGGACTAAGTGCTACTTGGGTTAATAAATGACTAGTGTTGCTTCTTCCTAATATAAAAAGGAAAAGACAGTGACCACATCTTCCCCAAAGGAAGGAGAATTGACAAAAGTGTCCGAAGGTGACGGTAACTAGCCTAAAGCTAATTGGATTCAAATGATGGACCCAAAAACCATTCTGGAATAGTTCAACATTATCACAACCCACTCAGGATTCTAACAAATACAGAGTCTGCTGATACATGAGAGGTCCATTGCTGCCTGCATTTGTAAACAGTTTGAATCAAAGCTCATCGGTCATAAAGTGGTCATGTGTGGGCCTAAAACCAGAAAAAACTATAGACCCTGGGGCATGGTACTGTCAACATGTTCCCCTTACATTTAGCTCAGGTGGATCATATTCTGCTTCAATGCTTTCCTGCTCAGCTCTCCTCAATCTTAGAATACTACACCCTTTTGTATTATCTACCAATATCTGTGGGGCCTTGTATCACATTTGTATTTAAGTCAGCAGCATTAAAGCTTACACTAGGAAAATTCCCAACATATCAAATCTATGATTATCTCCAGCTGGTTGAGACCTACCCAGTGTACTATCAGAATGCAGGGCATACCTACATGCAGTAAAGCCCCATATATATAGTAAGGACAGGGAACTAGTGGTTTCTCTGCACTACCCCCAGTACAGTGGTGTTTTAGGTTTAGGTTGATTGCCTCACATCTGCTTATCTGGCCCAGAAGATGGTGGTGGCAATGTGTCTGAGAAAGTGTAGGCCTATTACTGGCCACCAGTTGACCTACCAGTGAGATCTACCACGTAAGGGAGGATGACGGGTTTAGGATCTGTGACGGTTAATTAAAAATACCAACTTGACTGGATTACAGAATATCTAGAAACCTGGTAATGCATTATTTTGGGACGTGTTTGCTACAGGAGTGTTTCCAGGAGAGATTAGCATGTGAGTCTGAATGGGCCAGGTGGGGAAAATCCATCCTCAGTATGGGTAGACACCATCAAATCTGCTAATAATCTGAAGACAGTAATAACAGAGAAAAGGCAAATATGTCAGTCCACTGCTGGAACTAGGACATACTCTTCTTCTCCTGTCTTTAGACAACAGCTTCAGGCTCGGTGGCCTTTGAACTCCAGGACTTAAACCAGCGGCCCCCCATGTCCTCAGGCCCTTGGCCTTGGACTGAGAGTTACGCCATTGGCTTCCTTGGTTCTAAAACCTTCTAACTTTTGGATTGAGCCATGTTACAAGCATGCCAGGGTCTCCAGCTTGCAGATGGCCTCTCATAGGACTTCTCAGTGTCCATAATTGCATAAACCAATTTCCCTAACATATGCATACAACCTGTTGAGTTCTGTCTCTCTGGAGAACCCCGACTAATACAGATTTTGGTGCTAGAAGTGGTTGTAGAAGGACAGAATTTTAAGAATTAGTGTCTTTAATTGATTTGGGGATTTCTGGAATTAGCTCTACTAATCTTATTAGACCTGAAAGTACAAAGGGCTTTATTTCTAATAGTACAGACAGTTCTGATATTCCATGGTATGAACTGTTTACAAATATACACAAAATGAATGCACTTGATACTCCTAATTCACCTCTTATAAAAGGCAAGAAATTTAGTGACTCTATACATAATATTTTGGAAAATTTGTGGAAAACCAAGAAATACAATGATCTCAGTTGGCTGTTCTTATCATTGCTGGACAAAGTGACAAAAGTTTTCGCATGGGCTGGCTACAGTTTGTTCTTCTCTGGAGGCTGTACCTTACAATGGTAACTGCAGTTACCACAGAAGAAAGCCAGCCCATTGGAAAACTTAAATGGGAGAAGAGTAATTAGATTCTGAGGTAGCAGAGGCCATTCAGTCAACGGGTTTTGGATCTGTAAACTGGCTCAAGTCTGGAAATCGATTCAGGGGTGATAATTTTCTGTTTTCGTGTTTTGAGGTAGACTTTTATTAACTTGACCAGAAAGTTTTCTGCTTGTACAGCTCAAGTAAGAATTTAGGAGGCTTCCTATCTATTTCACATCTAGGAACACTATGATTAACTAGCCAACACCATAGATCCACAGAAGCAGGACTATTCTGATGCTTGTCTTGACTCTGTTTGCTATGGTGGTAACTGCGCCTACCTTGCCTTTGATGGTTGAGTGCTGCTGTTTGGCCTCTGCTACCTCAGAATGTAATTATTCTTCTCACATTTAAGTTTTCCAATGGGCTGGCTACAGTTTGTTCTTCTCTGGAGGCTGTACTTTACAATGGCAACTGCGTAGTGTTCCTAGGTATGCATGAAAGGTAAGCCATGTCCCCACCAAGAAAGGACCCTGGTATACTACCTAAAATTTATACTGTTAATCTTTCTCCCATAATTCCCCAATGGGACCTATGGCCTTTTACCAGCATAACTGTTTATTGAGGAAAGGGAAATAATCAGTACTTTCAGGGAGTACTGGATACTGGCTCTGAACTGACATTGATTCCAGGAGATGCAAACCATCACTGTGGCCCTCCATTTAGAGTAGAGTCTGATGAAGGCCAAATTATTAATGGATTTTTAGCTCAAGTCCAACTCACAGTGGGTCCGGTTGGTCCCCAAACCCATTCAGTGGTCATTTCCCCCGTTCCAGAATCCACAATTAGAATAGACAGCTGGCAGACCTCCTACACTGGTTTTGTAACCTGTGGAGTATGGTGAGAAAAGATAAATGGAAGCTTCTAGAGGAAACTAGTTAACTCAAAACCGATACTGCATTCCTGGAGACATCACAAAGATTAGTGCCACCATCAAGAACTTGAAAGATGCAGAGGTGGTGATGCCCACCACATTTGCATTCAACCTGCTGTTTGGCCTGTGCAGAGGGCAGATGAATCCTGGAGAACGACAGCGGATTATTGCAAGCCTAACTAAGTGGTGACTCCAATTACAGCTGCTGTACAAGATGGTTTACTTGCTTGAGCAAATTAACACATCTCCTGATACCTGGTGTGCAGCTATCGATCTGGCAAATGACTTTTTCTCCATCTGTCTGTATGGCCTACCAGACACAGTTTGCCTTCAGCTGGAAAGGCCAGTTATACACCTTTACTGACCTACCCCAGGAGCATACAAACTCTCCAAACTTATGTCGTAATTGGGCTTGCAGGGATTTTGGTTGCCTTTCTCTTCCACAAGGTATCACACTGATCCATTATGTTAATGACATTATGGTAATTGGTCCTAACGAACATGAAGCAGTAACTACTCTGAACTTACTGGTAAGACATTGGCATGTCAGAGAATGGGGGAAAATATGACTAAAATCCAGGGTAAATCCTTGTATTTCAGAAAAATTTCCAGGGCTATCATGGTGGGTGTCATGACAAGATATTTGTTCTAAAGAACAAGTTGTGGGCTGGGTGCGGTGGCTCAAGCCTGTAATCCCAGCACTTTGGGAGGCTGAGGCGGGTGGATCACGAGGTCAAGAGATCAAGACCATCCTGGTCAACATGGTGAAACCCCGTCTCTACTAAAAATACAAAAAAATTAGCTGGGCATGGTGGCGCGTGCCTGTAATCCCAGCTACTCTGGAGGCTGAGGCAAGAGAATTGCCTGAATCCAGGAGGCGGAGGTTGCAGTGAGCCGAGATCGCGCCATTGCACTCCAACCTGGGTAACAAGAGCGAAACTCCATCTCAAAAAAAAAAAAAAAAAAGAACAAGTTATTTCATCTGGCCCCTCCTAAAACCAAGAAAGAGAGGTACAATCCCTAGTAGGCCTATTTTGATTTTGGAGGCAGCACGTTCATCACTTGAGTGTGCCACTCTAGCTTATCCACCAAGCGACACAAAAAGGTGCTAGTTTAGAGTGGGCCCCAGAATAGGAGAAGGCTCTGAAATAGGTCCAGGTTGCTGTAAAACTGCTCTGCCAGAGAGGCCTTATGACCCGACAAACTCAATGGTACTTGAGGTAACAGTGGCAGAGAGGGAGCCCTCTATAGATAAGATACAGTGAATGACCTTGAGATTTTAGAGCAAGACCTTGCCATCTTCCACAGAAAACTTCTTTCCTTTTGAGAGACAGCTTTTAGCCTGCTACCAGGCCCTAGCAGAAACTGAATGTCTGACCAGGGTCCATCAAGTAACGATACAACCTTATCTGCCCATTATGAACTAGATGTTGCCTGACCCACTAAGCCATAAGGTTGGGCATGCACAACACTCCATCATCAAACGGAAGTGGCACACATGTGATCAGGCCTGAGCAGGTCCTGAAGGCACAAGTAAATTACATGAGGAACTGGTCCAAATGCCCGTGGTTCCTACTCCTGCTATGTTGCCTCCTCTCTTCCAATTTTCACTTATGGCCTCCTGAGGAGTACCCCATGATCCAGGCACAACCCAAAAGTAGACAGCTATAGCACTACAGCCCCCTTCTGGTACATTCCTGAAGGATAGTGGCAAAGGGAAACCTTTTCAATGGGCAGAACTTCAAGCAGTACACCTAGTTGTGAACTATTCTTGGAAGGAGAAATGGCCTGATGTGAGATTATATACTGATTCATGGGTTGGAGCCAATGGTTTGGATGGATAGTCAGAGACTTGGAAGGAAGATGATTGAAAAATTGGTAAAAAAAAAAAAAAAAAAAAATGGGGAAGAGGTATGTGGCTAGACCTCTGAGTGGGAAAAGGATGTGAAGATATTTATGTCCCACGTGCATGCTCACCAAAGGGTGACCTCAGCAGAGGAGCAGAGGAGTATCCATTCCATGGATACTAGTTAGTTTTTTCTGCTAGCCACCCTTGTTATTGACCATTGAGCTCATTGAAAAAGTTGCCATGGTGACAGGGATGGAGGTTATGCATGGGCTCAGCAACATGTACTTCTACTCACCAAGGGGAACCTGCATTTGGCCAACACTGAGTGCCCAATCTGCTAGTAGCAGAGACCAACACTGAGCCCCCACTATGGCACCATTCCCTAAGGTGCTACTTGGAGGCAGCTTGA